GAGAAACCACAGAAAACTACCGATCAGAGAAGCCGACCGCTAAAATTCTCCTCCAGACAGCGACTGAATTCGTACTAGCTGACAAGCCTTCTCTCTCGGCCCCCTCTCTCGGTTAGCCCTGAGCGTTCTCTCTCGGTTACTCGTTCGGAATTCCACTGGATTGTGTACTTCATAAAACTACTTGTAATATACGCGATTTCATTCAGTTCTCATTTTGCCTTTCATGAGCATTACCTCATTTTTAATATCTGTCAGAGAATTCATATAAATATTTTCACATGCTCTTTTATTTTTTGTACTAATTCTTACACTATTTTAAAGACAACTACGAAACACAATAAATCACTCGGGCAAATCTACATCTGACCTCTTAATTGCGCTCCCTGAACTAATACTTCTGAGTCACTGTTCCATCAGTTCATGTACCTGAAGAAAACTGTAATTCCCAAATTAATTCGATCTTCACCAATAGTAAGCCGCCGTTTTAAAATCCGTTGAAAAATCTCTGGCATGGACCTAGTATACTGCGATCAGTTAGAGTTAAACGAAGCCTCTCTCCGTGTAGTCCTTCGGGTGGCCCGAAACCAAGGAAGTAACAAACTACCTTGATAATAATAATAATAATAATAATAATAATAATAATAGCGATAATAATAAAAAGGAGTTTTATGAATGATATTTTTAAATTTTGAGATAGTAATTAAGAGCAGAATAAGATGAAGACGCCTGACATCGTAGCACCACCGTCTCCCCACCCTCCCACTTCCATTCCACTGCCCCGTCGACTCGAGGCGCAGCTATCGATTTTCCCGCTCTCGCCGGCGATTGTAATTCCCCGTGCGATTTCTGCCGCCGATGGAAGCATTTGTGCGGGGGTCTGTCAGAGCATTTGCGGACAGCTGCGGGCAAGCAGTCTTTCAGTTTTATTTCCACCGTACCACAGCGCAACCTGGCCGCCTCCGCTCCCCCTCCCCTTCTGCCTCCCCTTCGCCCCCTCCCTTCCTCTCCCCCTCCCCCTCGCCCCCCTCCCTCTCACCGGGCCTCGCTCGCTTCTCTCCGATTTTAACTTTCAAACACCCGACCCGGAATTTAATCTGCACGCAAGATAAAGATTTTTCCCGCCTCGGAAATCGCGTGTCCGGAAAATGTTTGGGACGCGGCTGGATTTTCTTTTTTTCCCCTTTTTTTGTGCTCGATTCGAGTCTCTTTGAAGGAAGATTTCAATGGGTGGTGTCAACTTCTGTAAGAGTCCTGGTTCTCTTTTTGTGTGTGTGTTGGCGTCTAATTATTTTAAATTGGGTGCGCGTTAATGTAACAAAGGTATGTGACATCTCATTTGTGCATAGCGAGTTCTTTTGGGAGAAATAATTAAAACACAGTAAATGCATACTCTTTTAAAATTATAAAAAAGAATTGTAATTCGTGGATGGCGCAATGTTACAATTTTATTTTCGGATGTAAGGATCTCAAAACTGTTTCGCGAATTATTTGAATGAAAGCGATTTTGAAATATATTTTCTTCTTTACGAATGACTTGGATGTTTAATTATGCATTCAAATTAGTGTCGCTTTTATTCTCAATGAAACATGCACAAATTCAACTCTTAAAGCGATTGTATTCGAGAACTGTGTGAATTTTATTGAAATTGAATATTAATGATTATTAAGAAAGATATTAATAAAGTAATACATCTGCAAATAATTATTAAAATCATATTTTATACACATTTTTATATTGTAATTTATTTGCAAATATGTAGTTTTATCATCACACTTTTATGCTGATGCCTAAAGAAATGTTTCCTGTAACAATAAATGGTTAAGACATAAATGCGCGTTACTAATCGTCAGAATGTTCAAAGAAATAAAATTAATTTGGCCGATGATACAAAAATAACAGATGAGGACACAGACATTTTCTAACGTCACACTCCAAACGTTACGCAGTTTTGATGGTAGAGTGTGCATAATAAGCTAAACATGTCAATGAAATATTGTAAAGCAGCAACCAGTTGCTGATGTTATTGAAAACAAGCGTCTATTGAAAATTATCTTGCATTGTTGGAATAGAGTTCGATTAAATTTAACCAAAATGATGACTCTAGACCAATTTTGCGTTTCTTTTCTAATAAATAAAACAGATATGATAAATACTGTTTTAATTTGCAATCATTTTAAAATGTTCTTAATAAATTAAACGTATTATTTCAAAGATATTTAAACTTAAGGCGAAATAAAAATATTTTTGAACCTATTTCGAATATTTGTCGTATACAACTACGTAGTCCAGTACTTTTAATTCCCATACGGAGTCCAGGCATGTATGTGCAATAACAATGTGCATGTATGTCGTTCTCTTTAGTCTTTATTTTGTTTCTTCTATTTTTGCCTCCACTTTTGTGTTTTGTCGGATGGTGGAGTGTGTACCTACAATGCTGTGAGTATATTTTGGACTTTTTTCGTGAAACATTCTCTAGTGTATGCTGTTATCAAAATTTATGTTTACAGAGCATTTGTATTTCCGAGAGCTAATCGTTTCGTTTAAAATTTAATTTTATCTCCTGAATTCCCTGAATTCTCAGAATACAAGGATGATTATTTGCGGAACTGGATTTTGGAAATGTCAACGGGTTACATCGTTCTAATTAATTAAACTCTTTGTCATCAAACATTATATTGTTAGAGAATTTTTTTATAGCTGCTTTCTGTTGAATCTAAATATTTTTCTGAGTTTTAATTCCGACTTTGATTTTTGGAATTACGAAATTCAATAAAATTCCTAGAACGACCCATTATATACCGATTTTTCATCCATCTGTCAAATGAAGCCATGAAGTATAGTGAACCGATGCGGTTATTGCACAAATACGTTTTGAATACAGTGCATTAGCTAATGACTACTATCATGCTTAAATGAAAACTTGCTTCTTCAGAACTATTCTGATAGTGTTACGTAAGGTGTATTGTCATTTTTATGATTTGACTTCTCTTCTTATTCCCTCTTCATTGTATGTGAAGTAGGCTGATCTGTTAGATATTTCACAGCGCTTTGATTACTTCGTGAGATCTTGTAAGATTAAGAGCTTCTGTGTTTCGTCAGTTCCAACATCGACCGTTGCGGAATATCTTGCGTCTCCGCCCCCATTAGCGTGTCATGTCGTGATCTAAAATCGCGGCGGGGCCCTTGGCTGAGGCGTCATGCGCGTTGGAATTGACCGAGGCATCCTCAACGGGTTGTTGCGCTTGGGGGTGAAGGAACAATGATGTCGCGCGTGGGGTGGGGTGGGGTG